TACGCCCACTACACCTCGTGGTTTGTCCAGCCCGTTCCTGTCGCGTCACTCTGAAGGGGACAAGAGACGAAGCAGAAAAAAAGTAAAGGCACCGAAGAGAGAAATACGAAAAAAAAAAAAAAAAAAAAAAAAGAGGGTAAATAAAAAGAGAAATTCAACTTTTACCGCAACAAACACACACGCACACACACAAACCAAAAAAAGAAACCAAGAAAGGGAGAGTGAGTGACTGAGAGATATGAGGAAAGTAAAAAGGGATCGATCGACACAAGCGATTATGGCATTGATGTGGCTGTAAAGTGGTTGTTATTGCTTGAGGTTTTGTGAAGGCGCCTCTCCAGCAGAATATGGGTTCCATTGGTACTTACAAGGAACAGAGGAATTATATCTTTTGACTCGCATTGTTGTTGTTGTTATTGGTTTTGTGGATGTTATTCCCATTTCTTGGTGCTCTTTGCCCGTCATCATTGAAAAAGAGTAGTGGTTATACAAGCGCCAATACTCTTTCACACGCATTTCACGGCACACACTACATACACGCATGCCGATACGCGGGACCCCGCTATTTCAAATAATGAGGATTTTTTTCACTCTCTTGTTTTGATCTTTCCAACGCGACAAACACTTTTATGTGATTAGTTATTGAGACGTGTCAAGAGCAACAGCGGCAACAACGTAACTAAGGAAATAAAAGGGGTTTGGAGGGAAATAAGAAACAACTCGCCTTTTTGCCTTGCCGCTGGGCTGCAGAGAAACAAACGCGGGACATAGAGGAAGAAGGGAAAAGGAGAAACGGGATTTAAAAAATGAAAAGAACAAAAAAAAAATCACCAAATGGATGGAGAAGAATTTGGGGGAAGAAACGGATTGGACGAGATGAGGGCAAAGCGCCATTGAAGGCGAACGTATGGAATTTGATCGTCTTTGTCCGCAGTCGGGTTTAAAGCTTAGATTGGTATCAGGGCTTTGTAGTTGCGTTTATGTGTGTCTGTTGGAGAGTGAGCCTTGGCATGCACATGGCTCCTGCTTCCGTTTTTTTTTTTTTTTATGTTTTCTTTTTTCGGGTTTATTTTTTCATTGTTTATATAATCTTTTTTTCTTTTCTTGCCCCCACCCCTTTTTTTTTTTCTTTTTGTCACTTCCATGGTGTGGTGTCCATTGCAAATTTTCTTACGCATCTACACGTCTTTACACATTTTTTGTGTGTCACCCTAACGTGAATAAGTGAACTGCGACGTAACGGCAGGAATTTGTAGTGAGGATGTTGATGATGACGAGTGATCGCTTTTCCTCCTCCTTCTCCCCTTTTTTGTTTGCTTGTTTGTTTCTTCATATGTGTGTTTGTTTGTTTGTTTTTGTCAATAAGTACTGTTTTGACAAGTTGTGGAAGGGAAAAGAAGGTAACGAGACTGTAGACAGATCAACATATATATATACGGAGAAAATGTCACAGCGAGATATCCACGACGACAGCGGCAGGGTGATTGACAGGGAATTAGAAGAGGAGGAGGAGGAGGAGGACTTTTTGCCTTCGATTCCTGAGGCGTTGCTGCACCCACCGCACAATGACGTCATAACGCCGACAAAAACAGATGAGAGTTTGGAAGTGGAAAGGAAGAAGCGATCTCGTTCCCCGAGAGAACACAGGGACGGTGGAGCAAGTTACGGTGCGTCAGACGATGTTTACTCCGATAACGGTGGTGACGAGAAGAGTGAAGAAGGTTTTATGGAGTTGCTGAATTTGGAGGGATTTCCAAGCACTTCCCTATACGAACGAAGCTACTGCCATGGTCAACTTCTGCAAGACATTGGTGTTGTACAAGATGACATTGGCTGTCTCATTGCTACTGTAGACGCGGCTGGGACGCTGCGTGCATGGCGAAAGCTTCCTCGTGGTGTATTCTTTTTAGGGGACTTCCAGGGTCTTTTTTCACGGAATTTGGCGGAGGGGGATGCCAATGACATGGCGAGACACTTTATCCTAATCGACTCACTTACTTCCAGTCTTCTTGTGGTGCGCATCATGCCATGTGTGGAGACGAAAGCTGGTATCGTGACGGTTTCTGTTGAAGTTCGTCGGGTGAACTCCACTCTAATGACTGTGGAAGCACGTCTCTCTTTTATTTTTAGCGTTACATTGAGCATAACGGCAGAGTCATCATCTTGGGAGGATAGTGTTACTCCACGACCTTTTTTGTTACGCCACGACCAACAACCGTTCATTGTTTTTTTTACCGTGGAGAAGGATGGTACAAGCAAATCCGTGTTTTTGCCTTGTGTCACGGGAAAGGCGCTAATTTCTGGTGGAATGGCGAATTTATTGACTTCTGCACCAATAAGCACAGCGAATCGTGTGGTCTGCTGCCAGCAACATCGATCAAGCGGCCTGGTTGTATTGGTTGATGAGAAGGGCATCGTTGACTACGCACGCATTATGGTTTCTCCTAGCGATGACGGTCAGACTGTTGCTTTTCTTCAGGTTATCTCTGGTGTTCCAGCTCGTAACGCAGCTGACCCCATGATGCTGCGGAAGTGGATCACCTTTGAGCGTCGGCAGAAAACTGGCTTTTTTACGTTGTTGAGAGAAGCAATGAATATTTCCAAGACGGGGAGGTTAATGACGCCGCTTCATGTTGGGTTTTGCGCAACTGGAAAGTATTTTGTAGTGTCAAGTGGCATCCTGCGTGCGGGCCATGTGTGCGTCTCTGTTCATGTCTTTGAATTTGCTAGCGGTAAATTTCTTGCGCGCGGTGAAACAGAAGAAAAGGTGGCACCGGCTCTTGTTGGGGAAAAGGCTCTGCAGGCGGCAATTCGACTAATGCGTGGGGCCTTGTATGACGTCATCGTGGAGGACGCTGTGCGCAAATCCCCACGAGGTGAGGCAGGGGGCGTCTGGGTGTTTGTCCCAGAAATCCTTTTGGGAGGGAAATTGTTTAGAGGGCGCGTGTGTGGTCGACGCATCTTTGTCTTCCGTGCCGCACCTTCGCCCGCAAGAAGAATGATGACGGCAGACGGAGGTGAGGCTTCCAATCGTGTCACAGAGACTCCGTTCCACATGGAGCAAATGTGGCGTCCCATTGGAGACCTGGAAGAAACTGTTCGTGAGATGGCACTGCCGACCTCATCTTTGTTATCGTCAGGTGCGGGGCTTGACCAACATCTTGCTGCACCCTTGGCAATGATACGGATCACTGTTCCTCCTAGCCAAGCGCTCAAGAATCTTGTGGCTCAGTCCCGTGTTGGTTCCACCCTCTTGCAGGAGGATATAAAACGGCTCTTTTTTGTTCCAAGCAATACAGCTTTGGAAACCGCAGCCAATGAGCGTCTTTTTAATGCCTCTGATCCCACTTTTTGCACGACATCGTTGGAGGGAACGGCACTGTTACTGTACACAAAGTATGAGACACAGTTGGGAGAGTGTGCTGCATTCCAATCACTGAAAGGCGGTGCAACCGATGCCACTGATGCCGTTGGTGGAAGGACGGAGCAGACATACCGAGAGAAGGTGTTATACGATTTACATCAAAGGCGTGATTTTGACTGTGGAGACCTTCTTCTTGTGGAGTCATCCCTAAGAGGTGTGCTGCCACATGAGGCAGTGAAGGCGGACGACGAGGAGACAAAAGAGAATGATTCAGTGGCTCACGAAAAGCGTGATGAACATGAAATTGACGGGGATTTGGAGGAGCAACGTGTACAGCATATAATCACAGCAGCGACAGGACGGGCAATGGAATGGGAAAGTTCTGTTATTCATGTTTCTTTGTTTGTGGACGTCTTTGGGACGATTATTGTCCGTCTCTTGCCTCATTTTGCACCGAAGGCTGTGGTAAATTTTGTTGGTTTGGCGCAAGAAGGCTTTTACAACGGATTGACGTTTCATCGTGTGGTGCCGGGTTTCATGATTCAAGGCGGGTGTCCAGTTGGGGACGGGAGTGGGGGGAAGAGTGTTTTTGGCGAAAGATTTGAAGACGAGGGGATGAACGCCATGGATTTCTTTTCGTACCCAAGTGTGTACTGGCTGTGCATGGCGAATTGCGGCCCCAACACGAACGAGTCGCAGTTCTTCATCACCGTAGGCGAGGTGGCGCCGTGGTTGAATGGCAAGCACACCGTGTTTGGATTTGTCGTCTCAGGAAAGCCTGTGGTACGTGCGATAGTACAGACAGCGAGGGACGATGATGACAAGCCAATTGCCCCCGTGGTGATTCGACGTGTGGTTGCCACAGAAAGAACGACGGAAAAGTAGTACGTGCAGGCGCCTTCCTTCTCCTTTTATTGTGCAGCTTGCAAAGGGGCTCCGTTTTGTTGTTGTTTGCATCTTGGTTGTCGTTTACTCTAAATTTCGTTTATTTTTACTTTGCCGTGTGCGTGCGTGTTTGTTTTCTTGTCTGAAATCTTCAGCTTTTCTGAGGCACTCTTTGGGCCTACTTTTGCCCGTGGTATGTATATATATATTTTTTTTTTTTCTTCTTTCTTGAACGAACCACGCGGAATGGGGCGTCAGGAATCATTAATAAGAAGAGAAGCAATAGAAAAAAAAGTGGGTAGGCGGGAGAGAGAGAGAGAGAGAGAGAGAGAGAGAGAGAGAGAGAGAGAGAGAGGGTTCTGAAGAGGGGAAACATGTTCAGGTATGATGAGTTGGTATGGACCATATCGTTTCCCGTCTTCTGCTCACTTGTCATGTGGTTTTCGATGGCCATTGCACTGCTGGTGCGGTCGGGGCGAGGCTACTACAGACGGGAAACAATACGAAAATCCATTGCGGGAATGGAGTCGCGGGGCGAAACTGTTTCTGGCTCCCTTCGCCGCAGTAGCAAAGCCATCCTCAGACGTGCGGTTGTGGTGGTGGGCGGAGACTTTGCCCGCTCACCTCGCATGCAGTACCACGCGGCAAGCCTGCTCAAGTGTGGTCTTTTTGATGGAGTGGTTTTGGTGGGATTTGACATGGGCAATGCACTGATAGATGATTTACAACAAAACAACAGTGTTGGCGCCAACGAAGAGGGTGAATTTATTGTGGACACCACATATTTGATTCCACCTGTTACCCCGCCTTCGTGGTTCCGTTTTTTGTTCCCACATCCTCGTTTCTACTGGATAGTTTCCACCATCTATCGCGCATGCGCCTGTGCTTTAGTCTTTGCCTGGGCAGTTATAGCTGCATCATTAATGGTGGTGAGCGGCAAGGGGCAACTGCTGCTTGTAGATCTTATTCTTGTTCAGTCGCCTCCTGCGATACCCTTTGTGCCCGTTATAAAGTACATTGTCCGTCCATGTGTATTATTTCTTAATGCGATATCTTACTACTGTTTCATAGTTCCTGTTTCATGGATGATGTGGGATGCACTTTGCGAAATTTGCGGAGACCTGAAACTACAACGACAGCTGAATGTAAATGAGAATAAAATTATATCCCCATCACGGTTTGTGATCTGTCCCGCTATTATTGTGGATTGGCATAACTTTGGCTATAGTATTCTGCAAGGCGACGGACGGCCCTCTCTGGCTGTTTGGGTTTACCGGAAGTTTGAGTGTAATTTGTGTTTTGGCAATCGTAACTTGACTGTTAGCAGGGCAATGCGGAAGGCTCTTCTCGAACTCCAAGAAAAAATAATGGTGAGGGGGCATAAATCACGCTTATCGATAGCTGACGATGTGGCGGTGTTGTATGACACAGCTCCCTCTTTTTTTGGCCCGGTGTCACGGGCTCGCTTTGTGCAAAAAGTACTGCGTCCCGTGTTGCAGTCGGGTGGCCAGGACGCTAAGGAGGTCATGGGACTGTCGCCTCCGCCGGCGTGGGTGATGGAAACGGAGACACATGATAGTACCAAAAACACCAGCTCCTCTGGAATGTTTGTAATAGGTGCCACTAGTTGGACATTAGACGATGATTATAGTATGCTGGTGGAGGCACTTGTGCGTATTGATAGACGACTAAAAGAACAAAGGCAAGATCAGAATAGTATGCAAGCACCTGCTGTGAGGCCCATCTGGTTGCTCATGACAGGGAAGGGGGTGTCGCGGGAACGTTTTGAGCGTGCGGTCGTTGCAGCCCATCTCTCTCCACTTGTGACTGTGACAACCATATATTTTCAGTCGTATGTGGACTATGCAATGGCGCTTGGTGCGGCTGATGTAGGTCTCTGCATCCATCACTCTTCCAGTGGTTTGGACTTGCCTATGAAGGCGGTGGATATGTTGGGCTCTGGACTGCCTGTTGTGGCTCTGCAGTATGAGGCGCTTCCCGAACTACTGGACGAGAAACGCGGCTGGATGTTTAGCAATGCCGAGGAACTGGAAGCAATCTTGTGGCGTCTTGCTTGCAGGCATTCCGGCAATGCCGCAGGTTCCTTGGAGCAAAAGCGTCTTTGTGTAATTGAAAGCCGATGCAATACGTGGGATGAACGTTGGCGTGCCGTAGTGTTGCCGTTACTGCGAGATCTGCTTTAATGGGAATGGACCAATGAGCGAGTAAATATGTTTCTCTGTATGTGTAAAGAGGAAGTGGACGGGAAAGATACTGAAAGGAAGAAGTGTCGTCAAAGAGCTTGAAGAGAAGCAATGACGGCAAGAGCCATACAAAATATTCTCCTAGACAAGAGATTTGTGCTGTTGATCTTGCCGTGTTGCGGTTATTTGTTTTTTTTTTTTTTTTTTTTTTTTGTGTCGATCTTCGCCCACGCACGCATATATGTCTTTTGGAACAATAAAGATAATAGTTATTAAAAAAACAAAAAACGTTCAAACTTCAAATTAGTGACCGAGAGTGTAACAGGGCTGATGTCCTTTGTTCATCTTGGCAGGAGTGGCCTCATTGTCTTGAAATTTTTTCAGAGTCACCGCTCGTATCACAAGACCATTGGCTATCGGTACCGTCCTTCTCAGCGGCCGGGTGATCACAGACAGTCGCGTGTGGCGGGAAGGTTGGTGGCAGAAACGGCACGTGTGCCATTGAAAAGCAGCAGCTCAGCGGGCAGGGGATCCGATGACAACAATTCATTTGCTCGTGGTACCAGTACGAGAGACGGTCACGAGGGAGGTTACTCTGTGGCGGGGCCATCTTCACCACAGGCGTATTTGTACCGCTTGCGGCATGGTCGATTTGACGATCTTATAGTTCTTTTATCTGCGCCGTACGCGGTATCACCTTTACGAATTTTGACGGATGTACTTCGGGAGGTGCTGCAGCTGAGGCTACGTTTAACTTTGGGAGTGTGTGGGGGAATTGAAGATTCCGCGGATCGGGTTGATGCATGGGAATCCCTCCAGCGTATGGCGAATGCTCTTTCGGACCCACTTGCTGTTCGAAGTGTGCTTTCAGGAGCGATTCATGCGGTAAAGGAGGCGACGGAGGCGGCATCTGAAGTGGGAGATCGGATTAGCGAGCGTGAACTTCAAAGAGAATTAGGCGACATAGAATCCTTTTGTTCTCAATTGCGGCAGTGGAATGCTGAAATGAAAAAAAATCTTACATTTATTGCTCAGACTGCTGACGATGCCAGGTATTCTCATTTGTTGGATTGGGATCTGTCAAATGTTGTCATGGCAGAGATTTGGCATGGCCTGCTTGAGCTATGCAGTTTGACGGGGGCTTTTTATGTTGCTGTGGAGTCCCTCAACCATCTCATTGAATTGAGCGAACGGGTGGAGTGTATTGATGCAAAAAAGAAAGGTGACAAGGCGTTGTGGCATGGAAGGAATGATAAGGACAAGGATGAACACGAGGAAGCAGAGGAAGAACACCAGCAATCCGCTTTTACGCTAGATAATGTGGTGGAGGTAGTAGAGGACGAAGTACGAAAAATTTTTCCACCAGTGCTGGCCATTGATCATATCCGAGCCATGAGAAGCTGCGAGCTTGCCCGCAATTTTGATGTCGCTCACACTTTATTTTCACGATACATACAGCACGCCAGGAGCGGTGTCTTTCCTCTTACATCCAAAGACATTGAAGCTGCTCTGATTGCCCTCGCACGGTGCTGCAATAATACAGCCCATTTTGCGATGTTGCAGGAACTCTTTTTGGAGAGTGAGGCCAATCAGGTGGTTGGTGTTTCGGTGGAGTTGTACACGGCCCTCATTGATGCTGTGAGCCGGGCGAATGAAAATCCACAATGCATGGCAATAGCCCTTGCGCTTTATCGTCGTTTGCGGGATGGGGGTCTTGCGCCAACAGCCGATACGTACGCCGGTTTAATGGCTTGCTGCGCCGCCAAAAAAGACCCGAAGCAGGCATTTGCCTTCTATCACGAGGCAAGACACCAGTGTGGTGTCAACTGCCTCTCACCGATGGTGTATACCAATTTATTGTTGGCCTACGCCCAAGCTGGCTATGGTGCGGACGCGCGGGCAACTCTGGAAGTGCTTGTTGAGGCTGGTGCTCCCCTTTCTAGAGGTGCGTTTCACGCCGTTTTATCTGGTGACTTGACAGTACGGGAGGCAGAAGAAGTAATTCTGCTAATGCAGACGAAATACAATATCTCAGCAACGCCGCAGACATACGCCTATCTTCATAAGGCTGTAATTAAACGACCTAATGGCTCTTCCACTGTTCTCCAAATGTTTGACTGGCATGAGTTGGCCTTGAAGTCTCTCTTGAAAGTCAACGACACCGTTAATCATCAGATGCCAAACATATTAGTTGATGGACACTCAGGACAAGCGGCAATAAGCACGAGTTCAATTGTCACGCCATTAGAAAAGGATCTTTTAGCACGATACCCAACATATGCAGAGGCTGTCGAGGGGGTTCTGGTACGGCTGCGCGTTGACCCCACGATCGATTCACGTCTTAAGTCGTATTTGCGTCCACTACTTCGTGTGGCTCAGCTTCGTATGAATAGCTTTACTGGGATGGCTCCACAGGTGCCTACACGAGTTCCAAAAGGGGCGGCGATTGCTGTGCTAGCAGCGGACGTGCTTGCAAACCTGGAGGAATGGTTTATGCCATTTGCCTCATACTACTCCGCGGTAGTGATTCCGTATTCTTCTCTTGTGGCGTTGCGGAACGGCGGTGGACGGCGGGTGGATGGGACCTTTGAAAAAGGCACACAGCAGTTGTTAAACGATCCACTTTGGCGAGAAATTGGCTCGGAGCAGCAACACATGTTGGAGAGTCGGCGGCGCGTGTTGGTGAAATTTCTTGAGACATACCGTGACGTCATTCATTTGGTGTCACTGGAGGAGGAGTTGGCGCTGAGCCGTGACTGCGATCGTTATGGCATCGCGGCGCGAAAAACATTTGCCCGTTGTGCCGCCTTTGCGCTGAACCTGGCACGTTTGGACGTAGCCAATGGAACGAAGGTATACGCGGAGCAGACGTGCAACATTGTTCTGGTCTCCTCAAGCTTTGATGAGTGTGGGAGGTATTTGGTCGACCTAAAGCGAGAGGTTCTACGCGGGAAAAAAGACAGTGACGGACTCCAAGGTTTGGCACAGGGGCTGCAACGGCTTTGTTATCATAATCCTCGCACAAGCCCGCAGTGGCGGCCGCCTCAGGTCTCTGTCGCATCTCTCATCCACCCCGCCGTGAATCAACAGTCATACGAACAAAATCCCTGAGTTGCACTCGGACTCCAGAAAAGAAAAAAAGAGAATAAAAAATAATTGAGAGTTGATTTTCTCTTTCTTTCTTTCTTTCTTTTTTTTTTTTTTTTTTTTTTTATGGTGGTTGGCCTTGCGGCACTCATACATGTATTTGTTTGTTTATTTAGTTTCTTTTTTTCTTTTGGCATGCGTCTTTTGTTGGGTACTGCCGGCGTTGCTGCTTTGCTTTGTTTGGACGGGCCGCCTGATGCAGAGTTTCACGCAAAGGCAGGGGCGAGAAGAGAAGACAGGAACCCAGTAAAAAATAGAAGAACGAGAAGCAAACGATATCGAATAGAAGACGGTTGATATTATCATTAGAATGGCGACTCCAAAGCGGAAAGAAACCATTTGCGAGGCAGCCATTGTTGGTTTTTCCTTCAATAAGGACCGCACGGAGGCAGTTTTTTCGCCGAACAACCACCTACTGTATATTGTTTCTTGCAAAGACATAAAGGATTGTAGTACATGGGAAATTTATGCCACCTTGGAGCATCACGATCAATCCGTTTCCGCCACTGCTTGGCATGGCTCCACGAATCGTATTCTTTCATGTTCACAGGACCGTACAGCCTTTGTGTGGCAGCGCAATGTCAAAGGGAAGTGGAAGCCGCAAATGGTTATGCTGGATGCAGGCGTAAAACGGGGTCTAACGAGTTGCGCATGGAATCATTCTGGTTCAAAGATTTATGTGGGCTCTGCCGCCTCAAATATCGCTGTTGGACGCTTTGACGCGGAAAATGAATGGTGGATATGCCGTTTGCTTGAAGGACACACGAGTACAGTGACAGCGCTAGCACCGCATCCATCTGATGACACACTTTTACTTTCTGGAGGCACTGACGGGAGGCTGATGCTTATCTCCACCTTCATGAAGAAGTTGGATGGCAAGAAGTCTTCCTCCTTTGGCCACGTCTATTTAGAGAAGTGCTTTGGGGCATGGGTACATGCCATCGCATGGGCGCCATCGGGTCAACGTTTTGCAGTTGCAACCCATGATAGTCGTGTACATATCTTTGATATACCCCCCGTTGACAATATTTCCGAGAGTATCGACGAGGGCTTAGCTATTTATAGCGTTAGCTTGGCGATACTTCCTCTCAAGTCGCTTGCATTCGTGCTTGAGGATCACCTTGTTGGGGGCGGTTTTGACTATTTTCCGGCGCTTTTTCAACCGTCTAAAAAAGGGACCGGGTGGGCAATGTCAGGCAAGTGGACCATGACTCGGGTAAAGGGGGCAAAAACGGCGCAACAGATTGCCCGTGAGAAGTTTCAGAACGAGGCACGCATTGGTCAGGCGGAACTCCTTGAAGAAGAGCAGACACGCCACAAGAACACCATCAATGGTGTCTTGACGCTAATTGACGATGGGGCAGCCTTTAAATCAGCGATGGAAGGCCCCGTTTTTGCCACGGCGAGTCTTGATGGGCGTGTTGAGGTTTGGACGATACGCGACATGATTCCTATCATTTAGCAGAATGAATCCATACAAAGGTAAAAGGGAAAACGAAAACAAAAAAAAAAAACACCATGGAATGCACTGAACGTTGCTCTTTTTGATGGTTTTTTTTTTTTTTTTATTTGAAACCAGAGACACCTACCCGTGCTGTACTGTTTTTTTTTTTTTTTTTACACCCACTCGTGTATTCACAGTTGCACACAAACACATTTATGCGTTATTATATACACATGTGTATATATTATTTTTGTGCGTGTGGTCATGAGTGTGATGTTTTTTTATGAATTGCCTTGGCGCCTGGCTCAGCCGGCCACTTCAACGTGGTGTCAGAGCTTAGTACTCTCTTGCTAGGGAGGAAGCCAAGTGCCTGCTGTTCATGCTTCAAACCCGATGCGTACTTGTTGCCTTAGTTTTACGGGACGGAGGAGCACCAGATGGAGCCATTTTTAATGGCTGCCCGCTGGGTAAGGTCATTCCCTGCTGCTGAATTTCAACGTACGCTTACCAGAGCTGCACATTGGAGAGATGTAGTTAATACGACTGCTAAGAGCAGAAAAAGAGTTTTAAAAATTGCACTGGGGGATGACTTTTTTTTTTCTTTTTTTTTTTTTTTTTTCAAGAGGGGCAAGACCACGCACAGAGGCAAAAGAAAAGGGGAAAAAAAGGGAGGAGGAGCTGCGCGGTATGTATCGATGGCAACAGTGAGGGATTCTGTTTTGTTTTACGCTAAAGTGGAGAAGATTGGAACGGATGACACCATCCTCTCCCGTAACGTTTTTGTCACCCCATCAGCGCTGCTTGTCTGCCTTCCTGCGGGTGGAATTACTCGGACCGTTTCCCTTGCCAATATTACGGAAATTGAGCTTTCGAAGCAGGAATTAGTTGGCAAGCCTTGCTGTAAGATACATGTGCGTGGCGAGGTACCAATTAATCTCAGTTTTGCAGATCAAAGCGATGCTGATGACTTTTCAGATGCCGTCTCTAAAGCTGCAATTAACGTGCGGGTGGTAAACGTCGCTGTGGCGTCGGTACCGGAGAAAAAAATTCGATTAGACTTGTCGCAAACCGCTCCGAAAGGAGTGCACTTTTCAGCTCCACAAGACCCACCAGAGTCATCACCTTCATCGTTGGCTGCTGGGAACGACAAGTGGCGTCGGTTGTCGTCGCCATCGTTTTCCGTTGGGCCGCCGAGTCGTTCCGGTGCCCAGACCGTCGCAAAACCCATTGAAGCACTGGAGTTTACTGGGCCAACGTCAGCGGTGGGTCTAAAGGCGAATGGAGAGCGTGATAGCATTAGAGACTCCGTGATTCCCCTTGAAAACCACGTTTCTCCCTTTCGTCGTGAGGCATTCCATTATCCCCACGCGATGGGTAGCGCAGATGGGAGGGCCAGCACTTCGGCCGGCGTGTACGACCTCGGGCACCAGACAACAGGATCTCTGTATACCAGCGATATAACGCGACCAGTGACGACTCTTGTCAGCCCAAAATCTGGACAACCCTTTCAGTTGCAGGAGCGGTACGGTGAGACACTTGTTGATCTTTGCGCTGAACGGGACTCAGTTGCAAATATGCAGCAGCGTTTTTCCATGGAGTTGGAACTCCAAAAGGAGGCTGTGAGTCGTCTCACTGGCGAGCTCCAAGAAAAGAATGCGTTCATTGATGATCTGAAGACGGCACTGAGCTCACAGGAAGGTTTCTTTCAAGAGATGCTTGTTTCGACAGAACAACTACGTTCGATGGAAAAGACCAAGAGCCAGCTGGAGGAACAGGTGGATGTGCTGCAGACGGAGGTGAAGCGCCTGGAGAATCTCAATAGGCAGAAGGAATCCGATCATAGAAAGGTTCTGGCAACAAAACTTGCGGAACTTCATGAGGCGCATACCAAAGAAGTGGAAGAGTTGCGAGGGGCCTTTGCGCAGTACGATGTTGAGATGACGGAATACGTTTCGGGTCTGTTGAAGGAGAGGGATCACGAGGCACGCAAGGGGGAGGAGCAGGAACGACGACTCCAGAAACAAATTGAAAGTCAACGAAATGAAATTGCGGAACTGAAGGGTGCTTTGGCCTCGCGACAACCCGCCCCGTCCGGCGTCGTTGCTTCTTCTGCTGACCCTACTGCTGCTGCTGCGTCGTATGGAGCAAAGGAGGAGGCTAAAAGAGCCACAGTCGTCGAATGGGCTAATGGTTTGAATGGAAACCTCACGGCATCCTCATCGCACCACGAGCGTGAATTGCCGCAACCCTCGCGGTGGCCCATATCTCATGCCGTCACAATGCCACAATTGGAGATACGCCTAGCGTTATTGGAGGAGGAACGGGCGCGTCTACGCTTGCGAGAAAAGCTGCGCCATCGCATCCATAGGCGCGAGTAAGAATCTCCTGTGGCTTTCTTTTTGCAACTGAAAAAAGAGCCGGGGTGTCGTACCTGCTGCCGTTCCCTGGCGGGTCTTGTAAAGCCCCTACCCCCGCTATTACTCTAATGGGAGAAGAGGACACATCAAATTTTCTCTTGTACTGTGGCTTTTACGTTTTTTTTTGTTTGTTTGTCTATTGTGAAAGGGGGTGACCACTGTGTTTCTCCTTCTCCGCGTAGCCCATCACTAGTGGAGTATTTTGCAATTGTTATGCCTGTTTATTTGTTTATTTTGATATTTTTTTCTTTGTTCAGTGCATTTAAGGACGCCATCATGTCACTTACACCGTATCAACTGCACTGGTCGGACGCGCTCATCAGACGCGTGGAGCTGCGGCTGCAGCAGGTACATGCCTCTTTGGAAGAGTTCTACCGGAAGCAGAACTATTCTGCTGTCACGCATACAACCGCAACTGTTGAGGAGGACGAGGAACAGCGCCAACAGGAAGAAGGCCCCATCAGTTCGGTTGGAAGTTTTCTTTTGCGTACTTGCGTGCACTCCACGCCTTTATATGAAACTCAATTGGAGCACGGCGTGGGGGCGGATATTGCCATCAAGATACCGGAGGAAGTGTGTTCACTGAAAGAGATTCATGATGGCCACTACTTGGAGCGACGGCACGTATTTCTGTTGAAGGTGGAAAAGTTTCTGAAGAAGTACAACGAGAAGATGATGAAGAAGAAGGCATCAAAGTCATCTGCAACAGCGGAAACAGAAGAACGAGAAATGACAGATGAACACGAAAGACGGTCAATTGTTCCATGGGAGGTTCGACGTGTTCCTTTTGGTGGTGGATCGGTGAAGACAGAGAAGGATATTCTGCGAATATGCTTTTTGAAGTCCAGGTGTGACAAGACCCGGCGAGAGGTATTCCACGTCGATGTCCACTTTCAGCCCATTGCCCTCACAGGCCGTATCGCGAGTGTAGCGGCTGTTCGCAAGCACCCTTTCTACAGCTATCTCGTGCAGGAAGACGCTCTCATGACGGTGCATCTCCGCAAGCTCCACGAGCTCTACTTGAAAAATCACTTACTCTCACGTGCCACAGTTTTCCTAAAGTGTTGGGCGTACCACGTCGGACTCATGGCACGCACCTCCGGCCACCCAGAAGGTCTAAGTGGTTTTCATATTTCTGCGCTGCTTCTGCGTCTCGTTGAGGAGGGCGTCATACTACCCAGCATGTCGGAAGAGAATGTCATACGAGCGGTGTGGGTGTATCTTTCCCGTGGGCCTACACACAACAAAATTAATGGTAGCTGGAAAGAGACACCTGTTCCAGCGGCAGAGGAGCGTGGTGAGGTGGCAGTGCTGCGATTGGCAGGGGAAACCATGAATTTGTTTTTTCGCTCGTCTGCGGCATTTTTCCAGAAGATTGTTAAAAGAGCCGCCGATGAAGCACTTCAACTACCGCACTTTTCCGAGGTTTTTGTGAAATTTCCCTTTCAACCGCTGCAGCTTGTGATGGATACCTGTTTCGTTGTAGAGGGTCTCCTAGCGTACTTTGCGGAGACGGACAGTACGCCGGTTGTCAAGAAAACTGGTGCCGCGTGGTCTCCTTCAGTGCAGCGGGTGCAGGCGATACAAGGCCTTGTCCAGGAAGCACTCGGCTCACGTTCAAGTTATGCAACTGTTTGGCGCCGAGGCGAAGACTCCGTGCACGTTGCGGTGCAGCTGACAACCGAAGTGGAGGGACGAAACCGTCTCACGCGTGGTCCTCCCGTGGAAGACACAGAGGCTGTTGAGCATTTCAATGCTTTCTGGGGAAAAGACATCACGTCAACGCGACAGTTCCCTGATGGCAGTATTCACCGATGTGTCTTGTGGTCATTTGATGATGACGTTGGTGCCAATACAACCATCGCACTTTCTGCAGCCACTGTCATCCGTCGTGTGTTGGAGTTTGCACTGCGAAAACACCTTCTCCCCACTGCAAA